AGTGACGGTTACAACACCCCTGCCTTTTTTTGTCTCTCCATTGATTGTTTGGCTGTGGGCTAATATAAAGGTTTTCCTGCATGTCAGTCACCTGTCAGGTGCAATCTCACTCAGTACATGCCTGTCACTCTCATGGGCTTCCCTCACTGCTGTCAGTCAGTCTGCTTCATAGGGGGCCTGTGGAGTGGGAGTGTGTGTGTGTGTGTGTGTGTGTGTGTGTGTGGTGAAGACACACAGCACGAACAGATCACCATGAGTGATGTGAGGAATACAAAAAAGTCTTTCCTCCCTCCTTGTTTGCCGCTGGAAAGTTGCTGATGTGTAGAACTTGAGATGTTTTCGTCAGTAAAACTACAGACAACAGTGTGTTTTTACTGTAAAGGAGTTTTCTCTGTCAGGTGCTGCTTTTTGTCTTGAAATTTTATTGTTTGCCATTGTTCCTCTTGTGAAAAAAAAAAAGTACACTTCAGCATATTTATAAAAAGAGTACTTATTACAGAAATAATAATGAAAAATGATGAAAAAATGAAGGCTGCATTTATTTGATCAAAAGTACAGAAAAAAATATTAGTCATATTTGAAATATTATTGCAATTTAAAATATAATTTTTCTACTTTAATATACTTTAAAATGTAATTTATTCCTGTGATGAAAAGCTGAATTTTCATCATCATTACTCCAGTCTTCAGTGTCACATGATCCTTCAAAAATCATTCTGATATGCTGATTTATTATCAGTTTTTGCAAACAGTTTTTTGGAACCTGTGATCCAATTTTCCAGGATTATTTGATTAATAAAAAGTTAAAAAGAACAGCATTTATTCAAAACATAAATATGTTTTACAATATACACTACTGTTCAAAATCTTGGGTCAGTAACTTTTTTTTCTTAATGGGTCAGTAAATTTTTTTTCTTAATTATTTGAAAGGAATTAATACTTTTATTCAGTAAGGGTGTGTTAAATTGATAAAAAGTGATAGCAAAGACTATTACTATTGTTAGAAAAGATTTCTATATGTTTTCCCGTATTTTTGATCAAATAAATGCAGCCTTAATGAGTATAAAATATTTTTTTAAAACATAAAAAATCTTACTGATCCCAAACTTTTGAACAGCAGTGTACTTAAGTGCAAACTGAACGCAGTGTTTAAGTGTTGACACAATTGAAATTAAATAAATATGTATTATAATTTAAATTTATATTAAATGCAATTAACTAAAAGATGTGCTTTTTTGACCCATCCTATGATGTACAGTAGGTTAGTTTGTTTCTTCATCAAACAGATTTGGAAAAATGTAGCATTGCATCACTTGTTCACCAATGGATCCTCTGCAGTGAATGGGTGCCGTCAGAATAAGAGTCCAAACAGCTGATAAAAACCAGAATTGTGAGTTTATTTCTCAGAATTGCGAGTTTATTTCTAAGAATTGTAAATTTATATCACACAATTCTGACTTTATAACTGTCACAATACGCTGCCGGATGGAGCGAAGGAGCCATGGATAAACGAAACTGTCATTTATTAAATCCAACACACAGGGTAAATCCACACTTGGGAGGGAAGGAAGACACACATACACAACTGGTAAACCCGACAAACACAGACTGAACAGACTGGGGCTTAAATGTACAGGATAACGAGGGAATTGGGAGGAACACAGGTGAACAGAATGACAAATTAAGAGACTACGAGGACAGGTACGACCAAATAAGGGCACATGAGGGATAAACTGGGTCACGGGGAGCACATGAGGAGCAAAACACAACAAAAGACAGTCCAATCCTGACAATTCGCCCCCCTCCCGGAAGGCGCGTCCTCGCGCCATATAACCAACAGAGGGAGGGACGGGTGGGAACTGGGAGGAGGCTCAGGAGGAGGACGGACACCCGGAACCCGACAAACACAGACTGAACAGACTGGGGCTTAAATGTACAGGATAACGAGGGAATTGGGAGGAACACAGGTGAACAGAATGACAAATTAAGAGACTACGAGGACAGGAACAGGAACAACCAAATAAGGGCACATGAGGGAGAAACTGGGTCACGGGGAGCACATGGCTCCGGGCTTTCAGGGCTTAACTCAGGAATGGGAGCCCTCTCTGCTTTGGAGTTGCACAGTCCCAGATCCGTAATTAGCTCGCCCTCAGCCACGGTGCAGGGGGCGGAGCTCCTCTCCGCGCTCTCATTGTCCGCGGCTTTCTCATTGTAGCTTGCTCTCGCACTTAGTCTGACGATCCGAGAGGCGCTGGCTCCGTGGCGATCCTCAGCTCTGTCGCACTCCTTGGCGATGGAGGGAGCCCGGTGGAGCCAGTGGACGGATGGACCACGGCGGAGAGGGAGCTAGGAGCCATGGTGAAGCCGCTGGGTCGACGGGCCGAGGTGGAGTCTGGGGCTTAGAGGCTGGAGGCGAAGGCAAGGGATTCTCCAGCCACGGTGACAATGGAGGATGGCAGACCCGCGGAGCTCGCATCACACTGATGGTGGGCTCGCGAGTAATTTGTAATTAGTAATTTGCCCCGATCCAGAACAGTGAGTTCAGCGTAGCGTCGTCGAACGCCGTTAAAATGGCGAGCTGGCTGAACTCAACCGCATACTCCAACAGGGAAAGGTCATTGCGGGCTAGGGCGGTGAACTTGGCAGCGAGGGGATCCACGAGGAACTACGGAAACAAAAACACATAATAAAACGAGGAAACAAAACGGAGGGGGAACACGAAGTAATACTGTTTCTTGGTCGGGTCTTCTGTCACGATACGCTGCCGGTAGGAACGAAGGAGCCGTGGCTAAACGAAACTGTCATTTATTAAATTCAACACACAGGGTAAATCCACACTTGGGAGGGAAGGAAGACACACATACACAACTGGTAGACCCGACAAATACAGACTGAACAGACTGGGGCTTAAATAGATGTTGTCACGATATGCTGCCGGAAGGAACGAAGGAGTCGTGGATAAACGAAACTGTCATTTATTCAATCCAACACACAGGGTAAATCCACACTTGGGAGGGAAGGAAGACACACATACACAACTGGTAGACCCGACAAATACAGACTGAACAGACTGGGGCTTAAATATATAGGATAACGAGGGAATTGGGAGGAACACAGGTGAACAGAATGACAAATTAAGAGACAATGAGGACAGGAACGACCAAATAAGGGCACATGAGGGAGAAACTGGGTCACGGGGAGCACATGGGGAGCAAAACACAACAAATGACAGTCCAATCCTGACAGACCACAGCATGCATTGATCCAAATTTGTCTTCAAATTTCAAAGCCTTCAAATGTGTATACACAAGTAGTGTTTGATGGATCATCACTAACAATTTAACCAATTTCAGTTATTAAACTTGAACTTTGCTTCAACTGTTAATGGTAATACAATTAATTTCCAATGAAATATATGAAATATAATATATTTTTTTACATTTAATAATATACTTTTTAAAAATATACATATATTATTATAATACTTATAAATTTATAACAACTACATTTACACACATGTATTTATATTTTTTATTTAATTCTTTGTTAAGAATTAGAATATTGAAATATGTAAATAATAATCAGAAAATTTTGGAAAAAAAATTATTGATTAGAAATGCAAGAAATTGTCTAACATTTATATGTTTTGCAAATTTATCATTTGTTTAAATGATTTAATACTTTATAAAGAATTGGTCAATTGGAATATGTAAATAATATTCAAGAAATTCATTTTAAGACATTTAGAAAATTTTGTTTAATATTTATATGTTTGCAAATTTATCATTTGTTTAAATGATTTAATACTTTATAAAGAATTGGTCAATTGGAATATGTAAATGTGTAGATGAAATAATATTGAAGAAATAAGTTGGAAATACAGTTAGGAAAATGTATAATATTTATGTTTTGCAGGTGTATCATTAAATATTTTAATTATTTCATAATTTTTAAAGAGTTAGTATATTGAAATATGTACATAATATTCAGGAAATCCATTTATTAAAGTGTTTAATATTTAATAATGTGTTAATAATTAGTATTCTTGACATACATATTTAGGAATTGTACTTAAGAAATGTTATAATATTTACATTTTTTGCTCATTTATTTATAATATTCAAGAACTGTTTTTAAATTAAAGTGCGCTAGCAACTCACATAATTCATAACTCACATAAACATTATTCACATAATGTTATGTTAAATGGTTAAACACTCAAATATTTAGTAGGATGTCATATAATTGAACTGAAACTTGTGCATTTTGAACTTGCACAAAATGAGATTTGAGAGCTATGAGAAAATATTTTCAATGACTTCAATTTCAGTTATATCCTTAGTCTCAGAGTAGCATTTTGATTATGCTACACATTGGACAAAGTAGTAACTGAAAAAAAGTGTTTTGAAAACAACTGAGCTGCTGTCAGGCAACTGAAAAGTGTAGTTAGCAGCGTTGCTACTTTTAGTTAGTTAGGGACATTTTCTGTGAAATGGCAAGGGAGGCAGTGCATCCTCAAAAACTGAGATGGGGAAAAATCAATAGTACTAAAATAAAATAAACAAGAGCTAACATTACCGCCCTAATCTCTTTCAAAATCTCACTGTAGAGTGCAGTACTGCGGTATGATGGATTCATATACTGTAGAAATGGCGCCCAGGCTTGTAGAAAGAAAATGAAATCTTGCTTTCGGCTAGAACTAACCAGACACACACCAGTGGATGTTTATGTCAAAATAGCGATCCTTTCAAAATCTCACTGTAGAGTGCAGTACATGATGGATTCATATACTGTAGAAATGGCGCCCAAGCTTGTAGAAAGAAAATGAAATCTTGCTTTCGGCTAGAACTAACCAGACACACACCAGTGGATGTTTATGTCAAAATAGCGATCAAATGATGAGAAAACAAGAAAGAATGGAAGACTTGTTCATGAAGTACTGTGAGAATTGTTTCTCCTTGTTCCCTTTTATATATTCACTCATTCTCTTCCATTCTCAGATCCTTAAGGAGTTCAAGGACGAAGATTGGAACATGGGAAACATTGTGTTCACGATGACCAACAGGCGATACGGCGAGAAATGCATCGCTTACGCTGAAAGCCACGACCAGGTACTGCTGTCCGGAAACATTCCTCCAGTGTGGAGTGAAGGAAAAGTAATCAATGTGTCATTGGGAATGGAAATTGGTGTCACATCAGGTTGTAGACCTCTAGGGACGAGGGGGAAATGAGAAATTAACTCATCCATCCTGTTTGTACACATTCTAACACCACGACTAGAGCCGATTGTTGTTGTTGTTGGTGTTGTTTTTTCTCCTGTCTTCCTTTCTTCTCTTTGTTTTTTCCTCTGTGTAGTGTTTCCGAGGTCTGGGAATAATGATTTGTGCTACTCAATATGAGACACTTGAGTGAGTCTGAGTTGAAACGTGCTAAAACTAGTAAAACTTTACTTTGACACTTCATCAATAGACCACCTGTTTAGCATTGCAATAAAGTTTCCATCAGAATCGCAGATCCTATGTGAAACTGCATATGATGTTTTAAAATATTAATGAACGTCGGAACCTTGGCTTAGCGGTTGCAACATATTAAGCTGTGGTGCTTATGTAGGAAATAGATTTTTTTTTTAATTATTTAATAGTATACAAGAATATATATATATATATATATATATATATATATTCATGTAATATATTTAGCAAAGTTTATAATCGTTAATTAGTGAATACTGAATACTATTGCTTATACTTTGTGAATCAACTTCTTGCTGTTTACTGTACAGTTACACTTAAAATTAGGACATTATTCAGTCTTGTTCTTATTGTCCCATGATCTTTTTGTGTAGTACCGGGCAAATGAGTAGTTGTTCCCCGTTTAACAAATGCAACCAGTCAAAATCTGTTCATCAACCAGCAAACATTTCATCTAATGTGGTGTTCATGCTCGTATTATTGATCTGCCCATTCTGTCAGGCCCTGGTGGGAGACAAAACTCTGGCCTTCTGGCTGATGGACAAGGATATGTACACCAACATGAGCACTTCGATTCCCATGAACTCCGTTATTGATCGGCAACTTCTTGCTGTTTACTGTACAGTTACACTTAAAATCAGGACATTATTCAGTCTTGTTCTTATTGTCCCATGATGTTTTTGTGTAGTACCGGGCAAATGGTAGTTGTTCCCCGTTTAACAAATGCAACCAGTCAAAATCTGTTCATCAACCAGCAAACATTTCATCTAATGTGGTGTTCATGCTCGTATTATTGATCTGCCCATTCTGTCAGGCCCTGGTGGGAGACAAAACTCTGGCCTTCTGGCTGATGGACAAGGATATGTACACCAACATGAGCACTTCGATTCCCATGAACTCCGTTATTGATCGGGGCATCCAGCTCCACAAGATGATCCGACTGCTTACCCACAGCCTGGGAGGAGAGGGCTACCTAAACTTCATGGGTGAGTCTTTGCATTCACTTAAAAAAAGTAGTCCACATTTGGACGTGCAGGATGTTGGTGCATTATCTTTGCAACAATGTACCGATAAAAAAAAAGTAGTCATAAGAAAACAACCAAAACATTTATTTTGATAATATTAGTCAAGGTTCCTTGCACCAAAACAGCTGTAATTTAGTTAATTAGAAAATTTTGAAAATATACTTTTGCACTTTTTTTTGTTGTTGTTTGTTTTGTTGCTGTGTCACTTTCCTTGAATTCGGTGTGCCATTATTTTTCTTCAGCATTTGAGGCACATATAGGCACATGTTTTTTGTTGTTAAAAGTATTAGATATGTTAGATAAACTATTATCTACCATAAAACTACCATGTAAAGTAGCTAGTTTTGAACACAGCAAATATCTGTATCCTCACTTAAAATGGTGATTTTGACCTGTCCCACATCAGAGGTCTTGACTTTCTTGATTCTATCCAATAATTAAAATATTACAACATAATTTGATATAATAATAACTCAAATGTTATTATTTTTCATAGTTATGAATAACTACAAAATATATTTTTTTCCAACTTGCTAGCCCTAGCTTCGTTTTTTTATTTATTTGTTTGTTTCATTTGTTTTATTGTTTTATTTTGTTTGTTGTGTTCTTTTGTGTTTGTTTATTTGTTTTGTTTCATTTGTTTTATTGTTTTATTTTGTTTTTTTGTGTTCTTTTGTGTTTTGTTTCTTGTCACACATGCCTTCAATTCTGAAACCTACATAATGTTTACATGGTACATGGCCCTATATTTACATTACATTGTCCAGTAGCTTAGGCCGAATGGGCTATCGGGTAATATTAACCATTAGCCGAATTAGCCTTTTTATAGGTATTGTTTTAGCAAACTGACATTCAGGTCTGGCTCCATTCTGGTATTTAATTCCATCTTTTCAAACACCAATTACCATTTTCTTCCATTAATAGCTCCAATGTGGCTTGACACATCATCAGTTGATCATTTCTGCCATATGTAATATTTATGAAGTGATCATTATTACTTGAAGTTGTTGGCTGTCAGCTTGGTCAATAATCAGCCCAAACAGTGTACTAGCCCCACCTGCTGATGCTGTACTACCACATTACATAAATTAACTCATCGGTTTAGTTTAAAAGAGACTAAAAGAGAGTCTTTTCCCCAGCCAATGCTATATTCATACCACACACACGACCCAAGCCCCACAGATTACTTTGTGTTTGTGGACATATGGGCAGACTCATCCATGTTGCACACAGGAGTGCTGTTATTGTTTACTGCTGCTCTTGTTCTGCCAATACCACTAACAGTAATGACGGCTACAGATGTGGACTGCCTGATGTAGACACTTTCTACTCTTCACTTGTAGTATATCTGTAAAAAGCCTTTCTCTGTTGACTGAGATTACTCTCCTAATGGTGCTGTGACCCAGCTGAATATATATTTTTCAGTCGGTTAAGCCTCTGAAAGCCAAAGGCTAGAAGAATGTGAAATGTAGAGACAGCAGGTATGTTTGCTCACAAGAAAACATACTTGGTTCAGCTCTCTAAGAGATCTTCAGACGTGACATGCAGCCGTCATACTAGCTATGTTTCCATCCAAAGATGCGAATTTAACTTGTGAGCAAAGCTAGAATATCGCATAAAACATTTGCGAATAAAGCACCGTTTCCATCCAACGAGTCAAAGAGAACAAAATCGTCACTTGCTGATAAACTGGCACTAAATATCTCTAAGAAAACTAGGAGAAGCCACTGAATGTAATAATTGTCATATGTAATAAATTACTTGTGCTTCAGAGAGAGCAGACGTAACACAATAAATGCGGTCATTGCTTTTAGAGGTGGATGCCTGCTGTTTGGGAACGCAGTCATGTAAGACAGTAATTATACAGAAATACTTTGATGACAGACTTTCCTCAGGCATTTCAGAACGACCAAAACAACATATAGATGCTGTGAACAAGATCGGTCCACTGGTTAGTCAATTTATCCCGTCTCATAGCACAAAGTCACATGATGACATTTTTTCTTATCGGATAAAAAGTTTATCCTACTCAATTGTGTGCATACGTTTTTTATGCGCATTTTTAGAATTTATGCGCATCTTGGCATTTCCATCCACAATGTCATACATTTGGAATTTGACTGTACACTCTAAAAAATGCTGGGGTAAATACAACCCCGTGCTGGGTAAAATAGGGCAAAACCAATAAATGCGGTCATTGCTTTTAGAGGTGGATGCCTGCTGTTTGGGAACGCAGTCATGTAAGACAGTAATTATACAGAAATACTTTGATGACAGACTTTCCTCAGGCATTTCAGAACGACCAAAACAACATATAGATGCTGTGAACAAGATCGGTCCACTGGTTAGTCAATTTATCCCGTCTCATAGCACAAAGTCACATGACATTTTTTCTTATCGGATAAAAAGTTTATCCTACTCAATTGTGTGCATACGTTTTTTATGCGCATTTTTAGAATTTATGCGCATCTTGGCCTTTCCATCCAGGCTTTTTTTTATGCGATAGTCCAAAATGCGCATCAAAATAGGTGGATGGATACATAGCTACTGACAAATGCAAAAACATGACAAAAATGTGTATTATTTTATTTTATTTTATTGTAATATTTGTTATCATTTTTATTTATTCATTTGTTTGTTTGTTATATTTGTATTATTTTGTGTCAAAGAGATGTCAAAAACATGAAAAAAACAATATTAAATTTTTTATATTATATATTTTTTGTCAGATGTCAAAAACATGTCAAAATTATTTTATTTTTATTTTATTTTATATATATTTATTTATTATTTTTATGTCAAAGAGAATTCAAAAACATAAAAATGTTTTTATTTATTTATTTTGTATTTATTTTTTATTTTACAGTAGTAAAGTCCAGGATGTAAACCAGTGACATGTATAAGTGAATGCCCTCTACAGAGGACAAAATTAATTGTGGGGTCCCAGGATCATTAAGATTTATCTGGACTTGAATTATTCCTCCCAATTAAGTTTTTAGTACAACAGGGATTAAGTACTATGCATTATCCAAGTTTCTGACATGTTTATTCCTGAAATAAATGACATAAAACATCTCTCAAAATAATTAAATATAATTAAAAGATTCAAATTAATCATCGGATGGGAATTTTAGGTTTTTGTCTCACTTATTGCTTATTCGTTTTTTTAAGTTACAAAAAAAAATAATAATAATAATTTCCCTTAAATTTGCCTTTTCATGCTCTTTATAAAAATGAAGGTAGCCAACAAGCCAAAGTGAGAACACAAAACAATGGTAAATACGGGACGACGTGTCATGTCAATGGATCAATGGCTGTGAAGTCATTTAGCCTGTGCAAAGCAAGAACAAATTGTTTGAGCAAGCAAATCAATTTGAGCTACCCTCAACTCGACTAAGCCCATCTATTTATTCTCTAGTGGCAGAAGATGCTTGCAAACTAAAATGCCACAAAGAGATGACGGCCATGTTTGCAATGCAGAAAGAAGATGAGCGCTGTGAGGCAGAGACTCGACATTATAACACAATGAAATGGCTCAGTGGTTTCATCATTAAATCAGCAGGTGGAGAGTGAGATAAATGAACGTTGACTTTCAGAGATGGAGAAAAACTTCTGGATCACCTTCAGAAGCACCGAGCAACGACTGACTGTATTCAAACCATGCTGTTGATCAGTCACAGCTGCTGCAGAATTTAGCTAAATTAACATTCATTTAAAACGACGTCCCCAAATCTATTAATTGAAAAAAAGCATTGAGTGAACCCTTGTGAAAAAGAAGTGTGCTTAATTGTATTGAATGGACACTTGTATTGTAGTGTACTTCAGATGTTTTTCAAATCTTTTTAAAAACCTGTTCTTGCAGATAATATAATATTAATGAAATCAAAAGGCCACTTAAGCTTTTTAATATATTTTAAATTTACTAAATTGCAACTTCATCATTACAAATGTGTAATGACAAATTTCAATACATGACATACAAGTTTCAATACAAATGACTTTAGAGTGTATTTTATTTGACCATAAATGCTTGTCATTGTTATTTTACCACAGCAGCTTGTCATGCAGTACACTTGAAGCATATTTCAAAGTAACTATGAAATCACATATAAAGATGTACTGAGGTTTTACGTAAGTGGGTCAAAAAGCACTCGAAAGTTCAGCATAATATACTATAATACTATATATATATATATATATATACAGTGGGTACGTTGAGGTCGACCAGTTTGACTATTGACATGTATTCATGCATCCGTGCCAGCAGGTGTCAGTATAAAGAACATGTATTAAGAAAGTACATAAGGTTAAATTGTGATTTCATGTTGCCTAAAGGGGCAATCACATTTACCATTGTTCAGCTTAGTTTCAAGGGCAAAATCCATGCATTTATCATTTACTCACTACTGAGCATGCACATTTAGTGTTCACACTTTCGTCGTGTGATTTAGTTTATTAAAATACATTTAGAATTCCCCCATAATTCAACATTTAGGGGCAAAAATGCCCCCGGCACACTTCATATCACATGAAGAGTGCCATTTTTTTATCCAAATATCAGCACAATTTTATACAAAAGTTAAACAAACAAGAAGTTAATATTAAGTGACTTACATTTTAGACACAACAGTTCCTGTTTTTGCTCACCACCGAAAATATTTCCAAACAAATTCACAGCAGAACTGTTTTGCATCTCTGAGCAACACACAACGGTGTTTCCTTAGGCCGGGCATACGCTGTGTGATTATTGTCCGATTTTGAGCCAAATTCTGACACTTTTTTGAGTCGGGCCGTATTTTGGCTTTTTTCGTGCGTCTTTTTTCGTGTAGTGTACAGAGGGTAACGAGAAGCGATTAGCCTCTCCAGAGCGGCAATCAGATGGTCGGATGGATTTCTTATGTGTCAGAAATTTTGGTGGCCCTTCGTGAGGGTATCACACAGCTGAAGCAGAACTGCGAACC